AAAGCATACCTGGATTGAACCCCCACCACCCCACCACACACACACACACACACAGCCCGAACTTTAACATTATTGAAGCAGTGTGGGATCATTTAGCAGCGAACAGAACAAAAGGAAGCCAACATCCAAAGTGGAAAAAGTAGTCAAACCAATATTGACTTCCAAGCTTATTAGAGTTAAACAAACTCTTTGCCTTATATACACTTCATTTACACGTATGTTTCAATAAATCACCTCACCTATTTCCCATTTTTCTAGCAAAATATGCAAAAATGAAAGATGGCTCAAGACTTTTGCACAGCACTGCAAGTGATAACACTGTTTATAGGTATTTACCACTCACCCTGCACAATATGAACCAGGCCTTCCTTCACCTTTATGCTGTTCTCAACACAAACAGCCTTGCAGACAGGCTTACTCTTCACACACACACACACACACACACACTCGCTTAGTTTTACACACAAACACACACCGCTCTATTGAGACATATGGATGTGGCAACAAAATGCACAACTTTTTGTTCATCTCAAGGACTTGTGAGGGCCCAAGTGAACTGAGAGGCCATATTGATTTTCCCTCTTTTCATGCTGTGACTCGGGGATTACCCATTTTCTCATTCATTTTTAAAGACAACTCGTGAGAGTCTTCCTTCCCTTTTTCCTCTCTGTTTTTTTCCTTTTTCCCCCCACTTCCCCTTCCCCTTCTCGCCATCGTACATACGCACACACCCACCTGCGCAGCCGGTCGTACCCACCCCTTTTCCACAACCACAAGTCCCTCCTTGACCCTGAAAATTGTAATTCAGCCATAGATCACAGCTGCTGAATATTAGGGCTTACAAAAGCAGTTAAATAAAATATGTCGAAATCATCCAATCCCAGAGGCCACGGCAGAAATTCTAATCAGGTGAGAGAAAGGGGAAGGAGTCAGCAGGGGGATTATGGGTAAAGAAAATCGTCTGGATCTACCAAAGAGCAGACGGAGAGCTGGGTTTGAGCTAAAAATCATAGCAATCATAACGTCGTGTCATGAAAGGTTTTTGGAGGCATGTGAGCTCTTACCTCAAAAACACAGAAATGCAGTCATACACTCCTAAAATGTAACAACCTGTGTTACAGTTTTAGGTTTGATTTCCTTCTTTTTGTGATTCTTGGAACTAAAATTTAAAACAAAAAACCCATCAAAACACAAAGTACATAAATCAATAAATTTGCATATAATTCACTCCTTGTGTGTGTTATGTTACCCCAAAGACAGTTTAAAAAGCATTTTGAATGCACACGTAACTTGCAGTCATCCATGCCATAGTGTTGTCCATAATTAGTGCCAAAGCCAGCACTGCCTCTAGCTAAAGGTCTTCAAAGTTGGCAGATTCTCATAACCTGCAGTGTCAACCAAACTATTTGTAAAATAATTGAGTCTCCCGGTATTAATGCACTCATTTTATGCTAAACAGGCCAACAGCACTTTTGGCCTATAGGCCTTCCTTTGACCAGGCGTAGGAGGGGGTCAAAACATATTAATGATTCTGTTGGCATGCTTGTTAAAATGAACCACAAAGGTTGATCCAGCTGAGAGCAATGCATAGGACAGTGCAGCTTGAGATGGTCAGATTTTAGAGCAATTTCAGTGCAAAACGTTCTTCCGTAAACTGCTTGCTGTTTTATTTGTTTTTGTTTGGGGTTTTTTAAGGTGCACATATAATACATTTCCCTTTAAGTGAAGGTAGATTTCGTAGCACGCTGGCTGTGATGAGAAAGTCATAAACCAGCCTCAAACACAAGCTCGTCGCGAGAATGAAAACTTTTCTTCCAGGCCCGGACTCAGCCACATGTAAAATGGCCGGACAGTCCAGAGAGCGAGGGAGGTCTGATGGATGGTGCTTCAATCCCTCGGCGGTTCTCCAAACAAGGAGACGCTCGATTACACTGCAGGATCAAAAATGCTGAATGCACACACTCCCCTCCAGAGTGAGGGAGAAACAAAACATCCACAGACCTTCGAGAGGTAGATTCTGTTTCTCAGGACTTTGTGCTTTGTCTTTGGTGACCAAGTAATTTCACTGATTTGGTACAAAACAGCAGGAAGGCATAGCCGGCTCTTATATTGCCAGCAAAACAAACGCAAATGAGCATTTACTTTCCTCAACACCCACAGCTTTGGTGCGTTTGCATAGATAAAAGTGGACTGTGAGCACTTCCCCATCTGTCTAGGAGGCAGTTGACCACTCTCAAATGAGGCCAGTCGTGGTAGAAGAAGCTGCACACTGCAAAACATCTTTTCTTCTTCTTCTTCTACTACTGAAAATTTGGTGTACTTCAGTAACACCTTCACAGACTTGCATCAAGATAAGAAGATAACTACTGTATGGTATGCCTCAATTAAAGGGTTGATGTAAAACGGAGTTAAATGTTAAGAGTTGTACGTGGTTTAAGTTTTCCTTTAAAAAATATTTCACGTGCTGTCAGCGGTAGAGGCTCTTGTGTTTTTTTTATGTGCGCATGTCATAGCTGCCTTTTAAGATAGATTTAAAGTTCGATCAAATGTTCGGCCAGACGTTTAAACGACGTGAATTTATCTTTTGTTTCTTAGATATTGTGAGCTGATTTAAGAACAAAGGATTTTCAAGCCAAGTCAAACACGTTCTGTGATGTCTCTCTAAGAAAGGATTTTTCGTTAGACTTTGATGGTCGAACAAACCAAATACAAACTGTTTCTTCCTGCCTGTTGAATTCTAATGTGCTCGTGCTGCTTTAAATGTCAGGCTGGAAACGGATCCAAGCCCGCATAAATAATAAAAAAAATTTAAACAAAATATCTGCATAATCTATAGGTCATAAATCTTTAACATTAGTTTTCTTTGGAGGTTTTGTGAAGGGCTTAGAGAGCATATGGGGACTCATGGGTCATGAGGTTATTCATCCCTGTGGATGCAACGGCGGCATTAGTGGTCAGTGCAAAAACACTTCAGTATTTTTTAAATGTACAGCCCAAAGACCCCCCCCCCCCCCCCCCCCCCCACACACACACACACACACAAAAACACTCCTCATGGTTTGAATAAGGCAAGCCTCTTATTCAACCCAGCCACTGCTCACAGCCATTGAAATCTAATGTAATCTACTTGTATTTGAGTCGATGGCACTGGTTGAAGGACGGACCATTTAGAAAAGGAACAATCTTATAGATGCGCTCGTGTAGTGCCTTTGAATGAACCCTCAGAATTGTTGCACTCATTCAAAGAGAGAATGCGTTCTCGAGTGGTTCATATTCTACTAAAACGGGGACAATGGGATTGGAAAGTAAGTAAAAGTAGAAGATGGCGCAACCAAGATCTTCCTTTTGAATTCTGAAGCCTATAAAGGATTTGGGGACCTTGTGTTCCTATTGGTGCAGAGTCTGGATCTACCACCGATCTCTCTTACAGATACACGATGCCCTATGCTGTCAGCTGCAACTAACAAGGTAAAACCTTTAACAGTGCGGCTTGTTGTCATTTAGGCATGTTAAGGCGATGTCGCAAAGGTCTGCATACTTTTATTTGCAGATAACATAATAGATGTTTTCTGTTAAAATGCAGTTGTGTGTGGAGCCTTGTTACTATCACTGAAGGGTTCGTTAGACTGAGCCCAGGCACCATTGTGAAGCACTCTGGCTTGTTTGGATCTCGCTAAGGCTACAGCTGAAAGACGTTATTAGGACACGACCCTCCTTTTGTGACCTAAAAATCTGAGGATCGTTGGATGGTCTGCAAAATTGTGTCCTTATTACTTAAAATCCATTTTATACCATCTTGAATCTTGCTTTTTGCCATTTTGCTCATTCATAACTAACATGAGTGACCTCACCTACATATTTGTTCAGATCTGGAAACACAACAAAATCACTAAAAGTCCAACAGGGCAAAAATCATGAGTAGATATGCGGCAGTGTAAATAGGTGAAAGTTTAGCCAGATTAACTGCTCTGTCTTTGAAGGTACAAAAGGGATTATGTGCAAGGTGCAATTCCAAGAGCATGCCAATGATCACTTCATCGCTATCCAGGTTAAGGTCATACATGACTAGCTGGTGTTAAAGGATACTGTTGGTGTGTTCCCTCTGAGAGCACCAAAGAAGCCTATGTAGGTATCAAAAAAGTGTTGACTGTACCTGTTGCATTTATCAAAACTTCTGTGAACTTATTTTTGACTGAAGATGAAGGCAGCGGTACAGATAAAACATACAACATCCTTGGTCTATCTTCTTCTAGGAGCCACTGAAATTCAGAAAACTGAAGCTTAGAAGGCATCAAAATGGTGGCAGCTGCTTATACGACCTCCCTCCAGCAGGAATGTGTGCTTTCGCATCTAACGATAAGTAGGCTGGTATGCAGTGTATACAGTCATTTGCCTGGTGATCTACTGGGCTTTTCAAATAAAGATATGCAGAAGAGCACTCCTGAACATACAACCATGAAACAAATGGGATATAGGAGCAGAAGACCACAATGGAAGAACAGGAAAGTGAGGCTACAGCTTGCACAGGCTCACCAAAGCTAGACAATAGAAGATAAAAAAATGCGTCATCTGCAACATTAAGATGATAGGGTAAGAATCTAGCATAAACAACATGAAAGCATGAATCCATCCTGCCTGTTTCAGTGGTGGGGGATGTTTTCATGGTGCACTTTGGGCCCCTTTGTGCCAGCTGAGCATCATTTAAACACCACAGACTACCTGATATTGTCCCTTAAAGGTATGACCACAGCGGATCCACCTATACTACTGGTGGGAGGGTCACACACCATGCCACAAAATTCAGATAATGTCAGCTGACTTCTTGAGCATGAACTCACTCTATAGCCTCCACAGTCACATGAGCTCAACCCAAAAGAGGACCTTTGGGATGGAAAAGGGATTCACATCATAGATGATAAATCTGGAGCAGCTGTGTGATGGGATCATGTGAAAATGGACCAAAATCTCTGAGGATGAATCTATGCCACAAAGAATTAAAGCAGTTCTGAAGGCAAGAGGAGGTCAAGTCAGTGCTAGCAAGATCACTTCACAAAGTGGCCAGTGAGTGTATTTTACTATTGAGTATAGATCTAGGCCTAAATTTCAGGGGTTATTAACTAAAAGTGAGTAGAAAGAAAAACTGAAAACAGCAGCGCATAGGTAATTAAAATGTTTTAAAAAGTGAATAAATGCTCGGATTAGCTTGCTAAACATATATATAACTAACATTTGCAATTGTTAGCCGATATAATTGGTGGTCAATACTGTTTGTAACTTCCATAAAACATCGATAAACAGTTGAAATTATAACCTAGGTGTAAGACGGCTTAACAAATTAGTAGATATACATAACAAACAATAAGTTAAAATAGCAACAATAGCTGCAGATTATATAGCAAAAGTAGCCTAGCTTAACGTGAAATAGTTAGCTAGCAATACTTAGCTAAATATAATGGAACAACGATAGAATTGGTAATAATTAGCAATACATTCCTATTATCTTCTGCTTATTTCAAATCGTGTCATAGTGGTGTTGAAATAATCAAGGTCTTCAGGTTTTTCTTTTTATATATACAAAATGATGTTATAAAGGTAAATAAATGAGTTAGTAATAGGTAATAAATATAAAGGAAGCGATTTGATAAACTGAAAGGCACTATAGAGGTCAGGAATATTAGTGTCCTGCAATAACAATAGATTCATGCTAGTTGACTGAGTAAGCAGAGAGAAAAGGGGAGCTCAGTTTTATTTTAGCTGTCGGGATGTCTGGGTAGGTGTCTGTCAGAAATATAACTCCACAGGTTATGACATACAGGCTGAAGGGTGAGGGCTACTCACCAGAGGAGACACCATCCAAGAATACCAGAGATATGGACAAAGACAAGCTGAACATGAACCTGCAGGCCATGGTCTGAAGAATTTGTTTCAAAGAGCAAGAAATCAACGTAGAAAGAGGAAAAGGTCAGTGTGTATCCGTAATGCACAGTTTTTTGTTTTTGTTTTTGTGAAATCTATGAACTTGTAGTCTTTGCATAGTTTTTGTATACATGTGATGCACATACAAGGTTGTCTAGTCAGGTTATTATGGAGTTTAGCCTTTAGCCTAAAATAAAACGTTTACAAAGTGGTCTTGTAAAGTTCAGTTACATAGGGACATGCAGCTAGTTTTTGTCACAATGCACACAAAATCATACAACTGGCTTTGATTAGAGACCATGTGTTAAGTACTGGTCAGGCTGGTTCAGCACCATGGACAGATTCAGCAAATTTCAGAGTGAGCAATTATCAGTGGAATAATGATAATTGGCAAAGAAAGGTCTGTTGTCGCTAATGTGGATTGTGAAATGGTCATCAGTACAGCTTGTGGGTGAATTTGAAATGCAGATGGAGCTAGAGATCGAGATCGAGATATTTCATTGTAATGCTTACGAGCAAAACCCACATAACTGCCAAATTCACGTACAATGAGTCTAAAACCTGGACATTAATTGTTTTTTACAGGTTCTAAATCTTATGTTAACAGTGTATGTAGTTTTGATTGGACTGGATGTTTCTTACAAAAAAAATCCTGTTAGACATGCTTCTGCCTTTGCATTTTTATGTACACAGACTTCTTCCTTTGACTTATTGATCAAAGAATTCAATCTTTTTGAAACATGACTGCTTGAGTTTTTCCAGTGATAATTTAAGTTGTAAAGTTTGGTGTTTCTCATTCTTTGTGAACAGAGAGGACAGAAGGTATCAAATCAGCTGTAAAGGGTACAGAAGGGTGGTCCATTATCACTGAGAAACCAAAGTAATACAACGTTTCATGGCCAGAGATGAAATAGTTGTTTTACATGTGACGCACACCGATAGAGACAGGGTGGTGATGAAGCAGAGGCCCTCCTGGTTACACTGCGTCTCCTTAAAAACAAAAATCTCCCGGCGTAGCTTCGGCTCCAAGCTGATGTGCTATAGGGAGCTGAGGTCACTGGTTCATCCGTCAGAGACGCTCCTCGCTGATGGATGGCACTCAGAGCAACGCGCGCCCAATCCGCTGTAGCCCTAACCGCCGAGAAAAGGCCTTTGCAGGCAGAGAAATAAATAAATAAACAGCAACATCAAAGGGATGTTCAAAAGAAAAACAAAGCCTGCACACGTTCGTTTGCAAACACACACACAGAGGCGCACATTGGCTCTCTCGCACACATCCGGCGAGAGAGAAAAGGGAGGCGGAGGGAAAAAATACAAAGGAGTGAAAGCGTACACATAGTTTACTCTCCGATGACACTCGGCTTGAAGAAAATCCAGACAAAACAAGGCAGAGTGGCGAAAATTGGAGCGTTTGATGGTTCGATATTCATTCTGAACAGACTCAAAAACAACTATCACGGCAAAAACTATATACAGATTCACTTTTGTTTGTTTGTTTGTTTAAAAAGAAATCTACAAACACCCTCAGAGATCTTTATTTCAAGTCTTTTGGTATCTCACTGTGGGGATTAACTGACACCTTCACATACTGGACATCCAGCTGAGGTTCAGCAGTCATCAGTAAATCTATACGTGTTATGCGTAGTCTAAAAAACCTTTTTAGGCATTCTTCAAATAACTGTTAAAGAACATGTTTCTTATTGTCCAGGAATCCCACGAAAAGATCATTTGATCCTAGTAACATGTGATCTCTGTGAAGCCTGATATTGTAGCTCGTTCCACCATACCATATGGATTAATTTTTCCAGGATTTCACAAGTGTGGTTAGCACTGCAAAATGACGTCAATGTCAAGTGTTGAAAACTGTAGTTCCTCAAATTGCCACTTGAGGCTTGCTACTCAAGTGAGTTACTCTCCATAGACTCCCATGCTAAAATGCTCACTTTACAGCAGGACTGAGAATATTTACAGCTAGTAGAAAAACGGGTTTGGTCTCAGTAGATAAGCATTCATAACAATTGTAAAGGTGTTGAATCCTTTTTTAAAATGCTTAAAGTTTGTTTGCTTTGGCAGCTGAAATTAGTTTGATCAGAATCAGAATCCTTGAGAAAATGATGTGGTCACAATTGCTCCAAGACAATAAAAAAGTAACTCACTAAACTAAATTAAACATATTACAAAGTTACAAAATATAACAAAATAGCACTAATATATACAAATAGCTCAATTATAAGTATCCCAGTATATAACACTAATGGTTGAAATTGAAGTGCAAGGATGTGCAAATATTATGGGTGTGCAGCTATTACAGTGCATATTGTGCATTTGATGGAGGAATTACCACAAGCAGGAATGATTTCCTGTTTTGTTCAGCGATGCATTTTGGTAATAGGCTAGCAAACAACCTGTTTGCTGTATTGCGGTGAGGTTTACAGTAATTGTACAGAACTTGCTCTGGACTTCATGTTAGGTTGTATCAAATGTTGCTGACATCAGTTTATACTGTTCGAGTCACTCACTGAATTCCACTTCTTATACCAACTTTATAGTGTCCGGCCATGGGGCTGATGTAACGTTGCTTATATCTTGCTGAATTCAATGTGAGAGTAGCAGCACAGACCAGCCAATCACAGCTGGTAGAAAAATATACTGGAACTCAAAAAACAAATTATTTTGCTTCTTACTTCTAAGTATTTCTTCACCCCACGCTCCACCTGCCAAGTCCCACTTTAACCCTTGCCAGTGGCTGAAAGTAACATTTGCTTGACAGTAACATAAAACAGACTATCGTCTGGTATATCCTTTAAGCGAGAACGAAATATCTGCCATTTGTTGAGTCCCAGTTAGGACAGTCTCCAGTTGCTCCAATGGTACTGCCATCCTGTATCCGGCAGCTTACATAGAATGTGAAAAATGTAAGAGCCTTTTGTTTGAATGTGTCAAATAATCTACTTGCACTCTGTTTCTGGACAGAAATCTGTCTGCTGGGATTATAGAAGAGCACCAAGAGGTCAGAAAGGAGGCAACAAAACTCCCCCCAAAAGTTGAAGAATCCTGTATGAGGTAACTTAAAGCAATCATTCAAAAACAAGTTTGAATTCGGGAACTTTTACCCCTTGAAGAGTCTTAGGATGCTTTTAAACATGTGGCTACTTATTGTATTCCAACTCAAAAATGCATCGTGATACCGGTTAACACATTTTCCTTCACTTCTTTCCTTTTGAAGACACGCTCAAAAATGATAACATTTACATTTATGGCAGTCATCACAGATGCCCCGTGTTCTTCTTTGTCTCCTTCAACCGATTCCTGGGAACTGGAGCTAAATGTTATTGTTTCCACGATCGTGGATATTGGCAACCGGGAACCTCAGCAGATTGTGAGTGCTTTGGTTGGTTAGGGAGCCTTGCTTGCATGGCCTTGAGTTAGTCAGCATGGGCTCATCCCATGAAATATTGAGGAAGCTGGAAGGGCTGGGCTGGGGCCTCACGTTGGGTGTGTGTGTGTGTGTGTGTGAGTGTTTTTGTGTGATGGGGAATGCCTGACGGTGGAAATAGTGGATGTTGTGTCAGCTCCCCCAAACCAAAACAAACACCTCCCCCCTCTCCCCCCAGTGTACTCCTAAAATCAGAAAAGTGGATTGCAATATATCTTCCATTGAAAATATACCATTCTCTCTCTTGTTTTCGCACCCGACTCCCCCCTCCTGCTCACCCCTCTCTCTCCTTTCTGTCTTACACCAGCCTGACTCTCCTCCTAGATTTAATCTCATCCTTATTCCTGTACCCTTAATCTTTTTCTTTCTTTACATCTCCATTTCCTTCCAAATCAGCACCTCTCATCTTTCAGATTATTCTCCTTCACTTTCTGCTCTTTCTCTCTGTTTTCCAATCAGCCCACAGAGTTGCTGCTGTGTGTGTTTGTGTGTGTGAGTGTGTGTGTCTAGTCAGTCAGTGAGCTGAGCTACTGTACAGACAGTTTAGTACAGTTGAAAGAGCACATCAGACTTCTGCCCTGCTCTCTCTGAGGGCTGATAATATGGGCCCTTCTTACCTGTTAGGAGCTAGTGAGCCGCTGCTCCTCCCTTTAAATGAACTTCAGAGGGGGAATCAGATTGACAGGAACACAGAGAGGGCTGCCTCGTTTGACTGGCGGTCCTGTCAAGGTGAACCCAAGGTGCTGTCTCGGGCCCCGTATTGCTTTCCACAAGGCTGCCCTGGTGAGCTGATTGGGTCTTAATGGTGCAGTAATGACCCAAACAAGCTCTCGCACACTTATGCGCGCACTCCATCTCAGCCAAGGGCGCGCTATTGGAACCCATTTTGGAAACTTAAAGGTCTAAGCCAGCTAATTTGGCAAGTTAACATCAGTTGAGCTTCCCTATTAATCTTTGTTTCAAAGTATGTGAGAGAAATATAAGGCGAGAGTAGTAAGTGTTTGAGAAACCATTAAGAGTGCGTGGTCTCGTTTTTCTCCCCGACAGATTCTGCATAGTAATAAAGGCCAGGGGAAGCCTCTCTTTAAGCCTCAGCACCTTAATAGCCTGTATGATGACACTTTATCTATAGTTTGTGCATATAATCACCAAACTAAAGGGGGCGACCTCAGGGCGTGGGTTCACCCGCTGACATTTGACATCTTTATAATTAACTGGGAAGGTCTAATCTCTGCCTTCAAATGACGCGTGGCCGCATTCCATTTAATATGCTTATAAGCACTATGTATTATTCAAATATGCTGATGAGGCTCCGTTACAAAACAGACTTTTTGACACAGGTTTTTCTCTCCCGTCGTGGTGGGGTACGGGGCCACTAATGGACGTGCAGGGATCGGAGAGCAACAGCCCTTCTGAAATTTTCATTCCCTGAGAAAGACGACAAAGTTTTCTCCTAAATCCTCTTTGTCTTACGCTCCTGTTTGAATTTAAGGAACTCCGGAATAACAGAAGCTAAATGAATGCTTTTCAAGGTGCAAACAAACCAAAAAGCTCTTAAAGCGAATTCTTTCTCGTAGTATAAGACCTCATTAGTATTAGGACAGGGGCTGCTTGTGTGGCTTTCTCTGAAGAGTTTTAATAGTTTTAATAGTTTTGGCCAGAGATGTTTGGAAGAATCAGCCATCTTTAGACCGAGGGAACCAGCAGAGCTTTTTATGGATGCGGGCTCTAACAGGGCTGGAAGAAAGAGCCTCTTATGTTCACTTTTGGCTTGAGTTACTTTTGAGAGGTTGGTGGTCGCTGGGTCAGAGGCTTCAGTGAGCCGGTAACCACTACACGAAGCCCTCAGTCCTCACCGGAGCTTTTCGGCTGCAGCAGAGCCTCACCGCATTCCCAGCCTTCCATCCTCTCATTTTAAGGAAAGGAAGGGAGCTAGAAATCACCGAGCAGCGTATCTTAAGACGCTATCAATGTTTTTGCCTTTTCTTTCACCAATCCATATTCATGAATCTCTTAGAAATTAAAAAATCAATATTAGACCACAATTAGACTGTGCTGAGGTCATGCGGTCTTGTTTTTTGGAAATCATACAAGCAACCACGGAGCAGCTACTATAAAAACAATGGAAAATTATTTTAATGAATGCATTATGATACAAGGTCATTACAAACTAGAATATTAATTGCATCTTTTGTCTTTTGAAACCATGTTTTTTGCACTAAATGTTGGCGATCTGCAAATCTAAGTGTTCTTATGATGTTTACGAAGTCTTTTAACTTTAAAATCATGGTAGATTTGGAGTAATTAAGAAAATGAGGCAAACTACTTTTTTCATTAATTTCACTATTATGTTGTCTGAAGCAAATATACAGTCCCTGGATGAGGCAAGTGCAACCTCTTTTTAACTGCGTATTATTTTAATACTCTGGTCTTCTCAGCAGAAGAACGAGGCTGTGTTATTTATATAACATAGGGGGCATTTTTCATACTTTCCTCTGGTTAATTGTTCGCATTGTCTTCAAAAAAATCTAACATCCGAAAATGTGAAAAAGCAGTTTTCTTAAAAACAACCCC